AAAACCAAGGAAATGCGCCAGTATGCATATATCACAGAAACGAAATGGTACTTCTTTAATCTATGTCAACGAGAAACCACGGCAGTTCACCACCACCGAAATGAAACAGCAAAATTCAGGAGTAGTGGATTTCGAGTCAAAACAGAATTTTACCGCGTGGAGAAAAGTACTTGCCTACACGCAATCCACAGACAATCTTTGTACCACGCTCATTTTGCCTCGTGAGTTAGGATTGCCAAAAAGCTGACCATCAGGTAAAGCAGCACTGGTCAATGCAATTATGAAATGAAAAAAGAAAAAATAGCATGATTCTGCGTTCCAAATACAATCCAGTACCGAACTAGCAGCTATTTCATGTATCATGGCATCAAATATGATGATGAATTTTGGGAAGAAAAATTTGTTTGTCGGAAGTTTTTGATCAAAAAATACCTCGGTTCCGGGTGTATGAGTGGTAGCAGGAGGTAGTTGATGAGGTGCATGAACAAGCAACAAAAGGCCAGCCAAAATATCAGATGCTACCAGATCAACATCAGCAAAAAATGATGATGTCAGCACGGCGATATCATTGAGGGCTGCACGCATCGCTTCATTTCTTCCCCACAAAAGCTGTAAAAATTTAACTGCAAAATATGAAAACTGAGAGATAAATAACAAAAATTGCGGGAAGGGAAACTTACTGAAACAATTCAGACTAAAGAACACGGACCACAATTATCAGTGGCGGCCAACTAAACTTTCAAGGAAAACCTGCGAAAAACCGGCAAAAATCAAGAAATATGTGCTGCATATGATAGTAGCATTAGACAGTGCCGAGTGGTATTTATGAGAGTGACTTGTATGCAGAAATAAGTGCTTCGGCTACTGTTTGGAGCGCAAATGCCGTTAGTATATGGATGTAACACGCCACGATTTTAAAGATCCGCAAATACAGAAAAAAAAAACTTTTCAGAAATATCAAAGTCAAAAAAAAAGATTTACCAATTTAAATCGAAACAACCAGAGTTGATTTTCTTTCCGAAGACTTGGTTCCATTTGATTAGCACCAGATGGATTAAACACAACCGCAACACCAAACAGAACTGTCAGAATTAGGGCCCACTGAAGCACAACGGTAAGACGCATAACAACGACTATATTGCATTGTGTTGAACTTCCTGCAAAAAAAAAAATTAGCTCTTTTCTAGCAAATCCAGATCAAATTTAGTTAAAAAACCAAGTTGATTAATCGGGGCATCAGCTTTCATCTTGCAGACCATATTTATCTACCATTTATAAGAAAGCGCAGGCTGTAAAAACGCTGAAAACTTGACGTATCTCTTCGTGACTAATAAGACTCCCCGTTAGATGAGTGGCGTGTACGATTTCATTGCGGTTATGCGAGACAGTAAGTTTCCATGAGGAGCGCATATTATTCACCTTGTCGACAATCGGTGTACTCCGTGCCTTAGTGAGTAGTACTCGTGGAAAATGAATGGAGCTTCTCCAAAAATTGCCTTGGACGCGACGGGATCGAACCATTTCTCTTCATGTCCGGGCGCAATATGTTACCACTACGCTACCGATCCCTGTGCTCCACGTTCAGCCTGTCAGCGAATCCAGTGCGCATTTGTCTTTCAAGGCAAGATACACATTTCTTTTCTTCCCTTTTCCTTTATGGCGACTTTTTGGCCGATATTTCGCGGGTTTTTCGTGATGATCACCGTCATTCGAGTGAATCCCGAAGGGATGGCGGCATGCAGCTCAGGATCAAAGAGCCTGGCACAGATGTACTCGATGTTTGGGAGCATCCCAGCTACATTATTAATTCGGAATATCTACAGAGCTGTCTGGGCTGCTTTGGTAAATAAAATGTGAATTTTTAATCAAAATGTCCTGCACGCGTCAATTGCCTTACTTTATCTTGGTAACACTGAAAATCCTATGCCAACAGTCAGCCATCATGACAGTGAAGCGCAAGAATGGTAATTCAGCTTAAAAACAAAAAAAAAAAACTTACTAAATGCAAAGACTGTTGCTGCAGCAGTGACAGCAATTTCAACAATAAACAACGGCAAGCGTATGTACAAAATTTTAGCAACCAGATGACGCTTCTGTGGTTCCAGGATCGATCCACGAGCACTGGCCAGCGCGAGGATGAAACAGACCAGTACTGTTACGCTGTTGACACCGATCAGTGAAAAGATGAAGATGAGGAATTGCTGGTCGGCACAACTGCGCCATTTCTTTAACATAAATATTATGCATGTTGTTGTTACCCTGAAATCATAATAATTTATGACATTATCAACCAAACTATTAATAAACAGTGGCGGTGCAAAATAAAGTGCCGAGAATACCAGGACCACCAGAACAATCATCAGTGTGCTGGTATCCCATTTTAGTGATGTTACTGGAATGATCCTACACACTGGATAAAACCTGTTTATCAATCCTTTCGATTCTGAGCTGCATACCTTCAGTTTGTACCAAACGTCTATTCAATGTATGCATTTTGATAACTTGAGCCTAAATTTTCGCATCACAAAATTCGTTTTTTCTTTTATTTTTCTTTATGCTAATGTTTCTGACAAATCTTGACAAGCTTGGTTTTGTTCATAAAAAAACCCTACGATAGAATTTAGAGAAAAAAACTGATCCCTGAGACGAACTTTTACAAAAGTGATTGCGCCCATATGCGCGACAGAAATCGGAGAAAACTGACTCCAACGACAAGTTTAAGGAATTTTGCCCAAGGGAAAAGGCCAATTTTCTAGAACTCAATTTTTATTATATACTTAAAACCGAATGTAAGGAATATAAATGCACAAAAATTCATGTGTGCAAGCATTCAATTTTTAAAAATAATTAAAATTTGATAAAATTTGGGAGAAAAAACAAAAAATTTACCAAGCCAATCGAACCAATGCTTCGGATAACGACGGAAAAACAAAATCATCGCTTGCAATATTCCAACGTCGTCCGAATACAACCAGTGACGGCATCTACCAGGTGGTCATTTGAGTTACTCCAAACCGTCTCCCAGCACCTAAAATGCAACGATTTAATGATATATATCTACGGCAACCGGATCCGATCAAAGACAGATGATAAGCGACGCGCACACGTTTTACCGAAAACTTCTAAGGATAGACAAAATCCTAAGGATACACAAAATCCTAACTTTCATTACACACACATTGATTCGCTGAACAGGAAATGAGTCACATTTTTGAGCAATTACATTAAAATTATTTGGATCTCTGACCAGGCTACCCGGAGTTTTACAAGGAAGAGGAAAATTTTTAATATTTTTTATGACAGACACTTGCAAAATATTTTTTTTGATCCATTAATTAATAATGTTATCATAAAATTTTATTAAAAACGTAGAAACCGTGTTAACAAAATGAACATTCCATGCAATAATTGTTTATACTCAAATGCATATATATATATACATGATGTTTAACTATTACGTGTATTATTTGTACTTTATATTACACATAAACAATTATTATTTACCTAACAATTATCACATGCAATAATTATTTGTGTCTAATTATTGTGTATACAATTAATAAGCATTAATCATTATAAAAAGTTTATAAGTAATAAAGAAACCCCGTAATAATATAATCAACTCACGCAACAACTGCATGTTCTTACTTAAGAAATTATCACATATATATTCAATATTTGAGAACCATGTAACAATTACATATAGTATGCTAAGAAATTATTAATTTTTCCCATTAAATTTCAAATTAAATGACGATTTTTAAATTAAGCGGTGATTTCTTGACAAAAAGCTTTTGGCTGTATTAATTATCCGGAGGTATCGGCATAAAAATCTCGGTGACTCTGCGAAAAACTGCACCTAAGCCGCAGTTATGTTAGGCTCTTTTCATCTAATTTGCTTACTTCCAAGGTTTCGAGGTCTTTTCATGGCTGTACGTGCCATCCCTTCCGGAGTTGCTGTAAGAACCGGTTCCTTTCTTGAGGAATATCACTCACTAATTCATGCGAATACCAGTACAGTGGCAATAAATTCGAAAAAAAAACAAAAAAAGAATTAGATGAGTCAAGAAATTCCTCTAAAACAGGCACAGAAGGCTTCCCTAACAGCCTCTTTTCCCTCACTTAAATTCGCGAAGCTCTTTTCCCTCATCTCAATTAACTTCTACACATTTGCTTCCCGACCCGTTTGGTCCATCCCTCTCCTGGCACTTTAGCTGCACACTATTATCTCGGCAATCTCTGCCCTTATCTATCCTCTTTAATTTGATTGAAGTTTGCAAAAGTGCTATCTTTTGAATCACAGACATTCTTGTTGAGGAATGAAACGAGGGAAAGAGGGAAGTGAATAATTCACTGCCCACCGCAAATTTGCCCACTGTTAACGCTTTATGTACAACGAGCAAAAGGCACATCGAGTAGACACTTGCCTCACTCTGCAAAGCAAACAAAATCTTTTTTTTATGAAAAAAAAAGGGGGAGAATCCATAAAATTTAGCTATAAACCATAAAAAATAATCGAAACGGAGTTAAAATAGCCTCAAAGCTGATGAAAATAATACTCAGTCGCTCTAAAACAGCGAAACACACGAGAAATTAACGGCCGTTTTCCATAAAAACACAAAAAAGCTCGAAATCAAAAACAGCACGGAAGAGATTTTGTTCAAAATGTGCCAAAATTAGGCGGAATCATTTTGCGCTACAAATATGTTGAGATGCACAGGACTGGAAAGTATTTTTAGCCATCAGGAACGAACAATTTTCTTTTGCTTCTGCATTCAGTGCATCGGTGGGCCATCACAAAAAGTGTTAAAAGCTGATAACATCACAGCAAAAATACTTGATTATGAACAGTTAGTGATAGTTTTTTAAAAAGTTAGCAAGTTTAAAACAAAAACAGAAAGCACTGCTAATCAGCGCTCTTAACAACAATGGCAGTAAGGACTCGACACTGATAAGCAACAATCATCCCGGTAGCTTCTCCGCTGTATTGGTGAGGTTTAAAAAAATTAGTGTGTTTAAAATGTACACAGAAACTGATCAGCCAAAAACCGTCCTCAGCTTATTCTTCGCTTGTCTAAGACAGATTCAAGTACTTATTTAATATCGTGTGCTAAGATACTTATTAAAGTTTGGGCAGAATTATAGACACTATTCAAAGAGTAAATATTAGTTAACAGTGAAGTAACTGAAAGTGTTAAAGTGCAGATTCTGTTTTTCGTGAGAAACTGCAAAAATTATTTTAAAAAAAACCTTAAGACTAAGACCACACTGATATCCCCCCAGGTGGATCCAGGCGAGCGGCAAAGGGTCTTTCGCCCCGTTCCCTCCCCTCTCCTCCTCCCGCAATGACACAAGCATCAGTGCTACAAAAGCTCAGGTTTAAAGTTAAAACTAAAGCAAAGCCTAAAGTAACTCTAAACTAAAGTAACTCTAAGTAGCAGTGTTACAACTCTATTCCTAGTTCTTGCATAGCCCCAGGATGGGAGGGGATTCTCCTCCGCATCCCCCGTCGAGGAGTCCGTCCTAGGTCCGCCCATGGACATCCCATGTTAGTGATGTTGTTGGAATACTCCTATACGCTAGGCATAACTGTGCTAAGTTCAACAACCCGTAATTGCACATTTTCAGTTCATACCTACCACCTGTTCTCGATGTATGTGCGCCACTTTTCGAAGCTGCCCGGTTGGTCGTTCACTTAAAAAAACCCATTCATAAGTTCTTAGTTGCTGAACTAGTTAAAGGTTAGGGGGTCTCAGGGTCAACGGTTTTAGTGAAAAAGTACGGGACCCAGTTGTTTTACCAGGGTTCCATTGCGTGGTGTGGTAAGCTTTCTGGCGATTCTGACGTCCGTCCTCCTGGTCCCGGCCTCTTTTCTCGTCGAATTACACTGCGATAATTCAAGATTCCCAACTAAACTGTGTGGATTAGTAGAGACAAACAACGGATTGGAAAGGAAAAAATGAGGACAGAAATAGTCCAAATTCAAATTAAGCTCAAATTCCGAACAGATAAATCGAACTCAAAGGCATTTTCAGACTGCAAAAATGAGAATGTGTGAAAAATGGAAAGGAGAGAACTGAAAGGCTGTGAGACTGCAAGTTGCTTCCTGCAAAAACCGGAAAAAGAGAGGGGTTACGTCATCATCATCATCGTCATCGTCAGTTTTTTTGAATCCGCTTGGAAAAATGTGAAAGTGGTGGCAAAACGATGAAAAAAGTGGTGCACCTCAAAAGCAACTTTTTCTTTTCTATTCCTCTGTACACACTTGGCATATCCCTCATTGCCTTTGCTTATGGCAATTTTTCGCAAATGCCAAATAGTTACAAACTGACAGATATGCTAAGGGGACAAATGATGAGGGATATGCTAAGTTGCCTGGAAATGACAATGCTTGGAAACGAAGTGGCGAGGCGCTGAATCTCCAAAGAGCTAGAGTCTTGGCAAAGTACTTCTGCCCGAAGAACCGATGGGTTAATACTAATAAGCAAGCCAGAACGAATCTAAAACTGAAATACATAAAACTTCAAAAAACACTGGACCTGGGGAAACGTGTTTTTGAGATGTCCAAAAAGAAGATATAAGCCCATCGAAATTTGAAAGAAATTTCCGGACTTTTATCTTTTTTTAGGCAAAATTTTAATGTTTTTAAAAAAAATGTTTAAAAAAACATAAGCCCATCGCAATTTGAAAGAAATTTCCGGATTTTTAGCTTTTTTTTGGCAAAATACAAAGTTTTAAAGCAATTTCTACGCATATTATCACAAAAACATTCGCAATGAAGGCATGAATCACACTTAAGACAATGGAACGATGGCAGCGGCACTATCCTGGAAACCAAACGCAAACTAATGGATGATGGTTGGGTGGATGAGTGAAGAAGCCTGCAGCAGCAGCAGCAGATGCGATCGATCTATGGAAAATGTTTTTGCACTATAACGATGGCGCCTCAAATTTTTGCATTACTCACTCATTTCGCAATGGTTTTTGAAAAAAATTCTTTCATTAAAAACGATTTTTAACATTTTGTTTTATTATTATGCCCCCAAGCAATATATTTTTGAATTTTTTTTTTACATTTTTCAACATAGGCGAATCCCTTCCCACCCTGGAACTGTGCAAAAACTAGGAACAGAGTTGCAAAAACACTGCTGCTTAGAGTTATTTTAGGCTTCAGATTATTTTTGGCTTTAGACCCTAGCTTTTTTAGCACGGGG